AACTTAACTATAAAATATGAACAAGGCACGTGTATTTGTTGAATTTATAATTATGGCTCTATTCTTAATTTGTCTTGGTTATATGTCATTAATATTAATCGTGTCATCAGATAAGAGTTATTCCTTTGATTTCAAAGGTATTCCTAATTTGTAAATAATTGTAAAATTAATTTAAAGTAATTACAAACTTTAGATAATTTTAAAAAATAACAAACTTTGTCTACAAAATGTAAAAATAAATTGTCACAGATCAATTTGATGTTTGCAATACAAATGAATGCCATAAGACTGGTAGACAACTAAGGGATGCCATGAATGAGTCGGTCGACCCGTGCGATGATTTTTATGAGTTTGCATGCGGGGGTTGGATGGCAAGGCATACCATTCCCGACTACAACGGAAAGTCGGACTCTTTTATCAATGGAGACGACGAGATGAATACAATTCTCACAAACATTTTATCTCAAAAGATGTCAAATGAAAACCATTCAAATGCTGTAAACTATGCCTACGATCTCTACAAAGCCTGTACTGATGAAGGTTTGTATAATTGAAATCAAATTGTCTCTTATATTAAGTTATTCATAGTTTTTCAAAATAGATATTATAGAAAGTCGTGGATTATTACCATTACTTGAAGCGATTAATTCATGTGGTGGATGGCCTGTCATACAATCTGATCATCAATTTAGTGGACAAATATATAATTGGGAGGACAGTTGGGTTCAACAGATTGTTGACTACAATATAGGGCCCATATTTGATATTTCAGTAGACGTTGATTCTAACGACACATCAGTTAATAGAATACAGGTTTGAATATCTAATAAAAAATAAAATGATCATGATGATATTTAAATTTATTAAATTGTAGCTAGTAATTATTTTAATTGCATAGTTTTACCTACCACATTTTGGTTTGGGTCGCAACCAATTGCTTAATACCAATGATTACCCCGATATAGTCAATGCTTATAAGCAATATATACTTCAATCGGCACTACTATTAGGCGCTAAGAATGACAGCCAATCTAAACAGGATATCAAGGATTTGATAGAATTTGAATCAAAACTGGCAAATGTATTGATTATTTATATTTAATTTAAATCATTTAATTTAAAATATTTATAATTATATTTAACATGAATTTGCATTGACTTACGATTTGGACATCGTGTATTTTTTCATTTAAAAGTATTCATTAAGTGGTGAACAAAGGAGACATGCACATTTAGTATATACTAGAATGACATTTAAAGACTTTAATGAATTGACTAATAATAGTGTCAATTGGCTTAATATAACTAACACTATATTCACTAAATATAAGTTAAATTTTCGTGCAAAAAGTAAAGACCTAGTTATCATTAACGACATTCAGTATTACAAAAGTGTTTGTGAGTTAATGGCAAAAACACCGGACAGGATAATCGCCAACTATTTCGGTTGGCATTTGGTCTCTAATTTGATGCCATATACTAACCGACAACTCAAGAACTTTGAGTTTGAGTTTCAGAGCATCACTGATGGCACTCAACAACAAAGAAGTTTATCCGGAGTTTGTACTCAAATTGTCACTGAATTGATCCCATATGCGGTCAGCCGTTTATATTTAGATCAATACTTTTCTGCAGATGAAAGACAAAATGTAAGAAGATATTTGAATTATATGTAATTATGATATAATAGCATTTAAATTATTTGTAATTTAGGCAACGCTTATCGTAAATGATATAAAAACAACGTTTAATGAAATGCTTAAAGAAAATGATTGGTTGGACGACAGGACCAAAAATATAGCACTAATTAAATTGAATGCAATGAAACAGAATATAGGATTTGCTGATTGGATGCTCAATGATAATGAACTGGATGATGCCTATAATTTGGTATTATAATAATATAGAATATAGTATGTTACATAACAAAATAATATTTTAATCCTTTTAATTTTAGACACAAAAGGTTGATTTAGAAAAATCATTTGAAAGTATAGTTTATTTGAGGCATCAAATTGGCTTGATTAAATTCAACTCAATTACAGAAAATGTAAATTCATCAAAAAT